AATCCCCTGATGAGTGGGCGACCACGAAACAGGCTTGTAGGGATGAACTTGTAGTTTATTTGTGTTTTCCCTCCCACATTATATACTTCGCTCTACTCTAATGTATTGAGCACTGTTTTACGAAAATGAAATGTTACACTTTATATATATTTATATAACTAACTGCAGATATATATATATATATATATATATATATATATATATATATATTTCATCACACATAAAATAATAATATTAATAATAGCAATAACTTTCTTGAAAGTTAGTAGCCCTCTGTACAAGTAAAAATTAAATTCTATATCTATTTACAAGCAAAACTAAATTATTTGTTCCCTGAAAAACAAATCGCTCTATTTTTGCTCACGGAAACGGCATATATCTCTGAATTCTACAAGTTACTTTCAAGGTAAAAAAAAAAAAAAAGGAACAAAGAAACAAAAAACCCTTCAAACCTTTGTCTCGTTTTACTTCTATATACTTCCCTGCAAAACAAACGAAACACATTCTGATTAGGGTTTATTGCGCAAGATGTTGTTATTTATTGCAGAAAAATTTCTAAATTTTCAGACATTAAACATTTACCAGCTATCAATTAGCTGAATTACGTATTGACTGGAAACCAACTTAACTCAAATTATTTGCAAGTGGCGTTCATCGATCCTACGCTACTTTCCGGCTTGCATTCTCGACCCAGTTGTCAATGGCGCAAGATTTTCGCTTCACCTGATTAATTTTAGATTAAAATATAGATTTCGCGCAGTCATCCAAGTTGTAGGGGCAAGCCTGATTAATTTAAAGGCAAAAGTTGGAAAAAATGTGTTGCGCATTGGTTCGTGCAAAAAATAAAATGTAAAAAAGATAAAATGTAAAAAAAGGACGCGTTTCGAGGCTGCTGCCTCTTCATCAGTGATCTCAATGAAGCTCAGTTGCATTCAGATCACTGATGAAGATGTAACAGCCTCGAAACGTCTGTCTTTTGACATTTTAATTTATCCCCGAATATGACGAGAACATTCACTTTTTTATAACTCTGGTTTAATGATATTTGCTTTGAAATAACATAAGACTGTGTTGAAAAGGAGTTGTCAGACTTTCTAATAATGATGTATTGCGGTATTTTGTAATAATCGTGGAAACGCTTAAACAAAAACAGAGGCTCCATACCAACCATAATCATAATTAAGTAAACATGAACGACTGCAAGAGATATAATCTCAAAGTGGAAATTCAACAATATTCATTTCCTTTATAGTCTTTAAATCTCTGGGAATGCTCTACCATCCAAAAGCAATAAAAATCACTTTTGATAAGGTGTAAAGAGCTCTTTCACAGTTCAGTATTTATAGTTTTGTGCCAACTTTCCGTCCGTTCAATACTTTTTGTTCGCGGAAGTTAAACTAAATGTTTTGCATCGATATTAAATTTTATTTGTCTGTTCAGCTAAAGTTCTTATTCGATCACTTCTACGTATAAGCTACTTTAAATATTTACATTTCAAGACATTCTTTTTTAAGTATCAGAGAAACCTCTTTCGATACAAAATCGGGAACAACTTACCTACGTCAAAATACGCATTGCTTTCACCATCATAATAATACCTTGATGGTGCAGGATCTTCCATAGGTTTCGCAGTAAGGCTGCCGAAAAGCATCCCAGCCACAAGAACAAAACAAAACTTCATGAGGACGGCCATATTTAGCGAGTTCTGGACAGTTCAGAGAGACAAACCTGACCAGCGTGAGAACAGACTTACGTAGTTAACGAGGTGAGATGATCAGTATGCATGCATGGGTGGTAGCTAATTATTGATGTTAATTTATGTGGTGTCACCTGCCTGCCGTTTATTTCGTGTAGCTGAAAAGGAATTGATTAAAAAGATACCACTTGTTTTTAATCTAAAAAAGTGTAGCTAAACGACGTGCTTTTATTGGCACGACTACCATGACGAAACGATGTTGCAGAAACAAACGCCGCACGCATGACGAAGCAGAGTAAATATCTTTTGTTTACGTACCTGGTCGGACACGCGATGTCCATGGAGATTATTAAGATATGCGTTATCGAGAGCAATCTAAGAGAACAGCAGGAGCCTATCTTAAATCAAGGGCTGTAAATAATTAAATACTTGTGAACTCGCAAAAGCAATGTGCTTACAGGAGCTGGGAAGCAACAACTGTGAGCTTAAGTCTTGTTTGTGTAGTTTTGAGATTGGATTGGTCCTAGAATATTGTTGCTAATTTTTTGTTGTAAATTAAACATAACCTTAAGAGCTCATAGCATAAGTCTGGATGCTTCTATATTGCTTCGTTCTTTGAGACAACATGCAAATCTCTGCGGTAGGCAAAGAATATTATTTCCTACCACCAGTCCGAGTAAGCAGAGTGATTGAAGTACTCATATTTTTGCGTCTCAATTGTGACATTCACGACGTTTTTGCATTTGTAAACTTTGTTGAACTACTTGATAAAAATGTTTGGTGAAAAATCCACAACACGGAATAATGAGTTAAGGAAGGCGTTTTATAACTTTTAATAATACACCTTAAAAAGACTTTTAGAGAAATACAAAACGAACAAAGGGCAAAAGGGAGTGAGCTACAAACGACTGTCAGGAGAGAGGGGAATAAACGCTAAATAAAGAACAACCACGTTGTCCAGTTTTTGTTTCGATTACGTTTCAAGCAAGCACCCTGCGGGGTACGAGATTGATGCTACAGTGAGCGGTATCCTAGTCTTAAAGCATCAAACTCGATAACAAAGTTTTGTTTAAAATATCAGCCCCAGTCTTTAAGAACGACGTCCGCAAATATTATCGCCAAAAAAACAAAAAAATGAGAAAGAGGAAAGAGTAAATTCACAGCAATGCAAAACAGTTGCGTTGCGAACTTTCAATTTCCAAATTTTGAGAGATCACAGCAGTATACATGTAATTAGGAGATGGATCTTGCTCAGTAAATATTATTCTGACAGTTATTATCCTCAGTTTCTCATTGGTTCCAGGAACGGGTAGAATTTTCCTATTCGAACCGAGAACCCGGCCGGAATCGTTCCGTTGAGTTACTTTTCCTCAATGAATTAGTGGAAATAAATCTTCAAGCTTTTGCCCTTTTCAGATTTGCCATCAAGTAATGATCTGCCATTTTCATAATTTTTTGCCCCTGTAGCTCAAAACAGTTTCCACCACTTTGACTTTGATGGGTCATTATAACCACTCTTTATCACTTGATGCTACAATCATGGTATCAAAAAACTACCCAATCATTGGCGAACACGTTGTTATAATTTTCTTGACATAATGGGTTACCATAACAACAGTATGAACTGCTAAAAAGACCCTTCATTACAGCTTTACAGGCTTATAATTCAAAACGGGCGAGGTGAAATTTCTTTACATTATTAAATTTTGATAAGCAAGATAAGACGCAACTTTTAGCAATGTTTTAAAGAAATCTGTAAATAGAGTTCAGAGCCAACTTAAATTTTCAAAATGTTAAGGTGGTTTTGAACCCCATGTGCAGATTTTTTAGAACTTTACCAAAAGTTGGGTCTTATCATGCTTATCAAAAATTTAATAATGTAAAAGTATTTCACCGTGCCGTTTTTGGATTACAAGCTCCTAAAGCTGTAACGAATGGTGTTTTTAGATCCTTCTCAATTTTTTTTTTCAAATTCAAAAAAGCAATCACATCTAATAACCCTAACCCAAAGAGCTAACACTAACTTTTTTAAAGACGCCTGCAGTTGTGGTGAGGGTTCCTGGCCATTTTCCTGACGTTTGCCATGGGAATAGTCGGTGCGCGAAGGATCGTCGCCCAACCTGTCTGTGGTGAGAACTTGAAATAACCCTATCCCTATGCGCTAACCATAACTTTTTCAAAGACGCCCGCAGGTGAGGATTTCTGGCCATTTTCCTAACCTTTTCCATGGGAATAGTGGATGCGCAAAGGAATTTTACCCTCTCAACCTGGCTGTGGGGAGAAAGTTGACCCTAACTTGAAATAACCCTAGCCCTAGGCGCTAACTGCAACCGTAAAATCTACTACAATTCAGAATTCTTAGGGATATTGGCATTTGTCCCATGGGAATAGTCACAAAAGTATTTTCATGCTCTTGCCTCTCGTTGTGAAGACGTGGAAGCTGATGTCACCGCATGCGAAACTTTGGAGACTGGCTTGAAATCTTCGCGAAAGGTAAAAAAAAACAAAAAAAAAAACACTTTTATAGCTTAATTATATTGCCCTGCAATTTACAAAATCTGTGAAATTATCAGTTTGGTTTGTGTGATTTTATGGTCTAAAAGACGAACTTTACAGCAAATTCTGCCTTTGAATTCCAGCTTTCGTTGCGAATCGACCACTATTGACCGTGAAACATAAATCTGGGTCAAACGCACCGGTTAAACCTTGGGACAAGTGTAAATCTCCTCATCCAGGGGAGGTCGCAGAGAAGCTCTGGTCACCAACCATTATATCTCAATTAAAGTACAGCTGGAGACGGTTCATTTACACATAGTTTAATTTTATTGCCTCTAGCTTACAGTGTAGTGATCTACATGTTAGTTGTGTGAGTGCAAACGATGGGAATTTTCTTGAAGTCAGACTGGCCATGATATAAGTATGGACTTAGAAATTTTCATCTGTCTTCACATGAACAAAATTCATCTGCAAATAAAACAAACGTATTCTTAACTGGCTGATCAAAGGACGTGCATCAAGGTATAATACTGGCTGACTACTAATAGGTTTTTTGAGTTCAGTGGGGAGGGGGAGGGGGAGGTTAAATACCGGCAGGAAAGAGTGTCTGCGCGAATTTTTTCCTTCTCAAATGATTAGACTCATTTAACCTCAGCCACTGCCTGGTTCCCTACCCTGCCCTCATCACTATGGAACTTTTTTCAGCTCCCAATTAATCTCAGGCATCACTTGATATACCTACAGTAGAGCAGTTTTTACTCGAGTCAAAAGTAATCCGACTTACTTACATACATTCAACCTTTATTTATACACCATAAAAAAAATTTCAAAGCTAACAAGCTTGTGGGATCGTGTACTAAATAAAAAGATACAAATGCTAAGAATAATTAAGAAGCTACAATTAAAGGACTTAGCTTAGGTTTGTTTGCATTATCGCTCAAGTTGTCTGGCTTAAAAACTCGCGCCACTTTCTTATCCAATCAGAAATAAACCCAAAACCAATCGCGTGACTCGCTCGCACAAGTTTTCTCGCGCCTCATGCCTAGCTTTGAGATTTGAATGGTTCACTGGATTGTCTGTGTATATTGTGATTGGCCAGATCTAAAGTGATTAGTTTGGTTTTGGTGTTAGAACACTCAAAAGCCGTTTCACGGTGAACTTTTCTCATTTGCATTACGATATAATCCAACTTGTGTGTGAGGTAATTTCGGGTGATTTTATAGCTTCTGGAAGCTCGAAATTACCTCACATTCACGTTGGATTATATTGTATTGCATTATAACCGGCACATGAGAAAAATTAACCGAAATGTTAAAAGGGCTTTTGGAATTAAAAGTGCTCTCTCGGCCATTCCAGGTTAAAAGCAAAGATGCAGCAGTCTGCTGGAACAAAGCATCTCGCTCTCGATATTCCTTTCTTTTGGACGCCGCACCTAGTGTAATTTATCCTCTAATATGATAGAATTGTCAAAAGTCGACCTTTTTTCAATCCTTGACTTAGTTATCTCCCTCAAGTGAAGCGAGAGGATAATCTTTGAGCGACGGAGTCGCGAGCACGAGCGACGGAAGTCGCGAGAGGTCGACTTGTTTCACTTGCAGGGATGTGGATCAGAGCGTAAATGTTTGGCGCGAAAAATTATTTCTCTCATTCTGAAGAGTGTTATCCGAGTGGAAGTGAACGCAATTTATATTTCCCTCCGTCTAAAGTGTGTTACCCGGGTGCAAGGGAACGCAAATTCCTTTCCAAAGGCGAAACCAACAGGCCAGGGAAGAATTATTGGAAAGGACTTTTAGAAAGTCTAGCGTGCCACTTAAACTGAAAGAAACAAATATATCAACTTAACATAATAGGCTTAAAAATCCCAACTAGTAGGAACGAGACAAACTGGCTATTTTTAAGCATGACCGAGGGGTTGAACTAGGGTCTACCGAGAAACAACTCCAGCTTAGTAGTCAGAGCGGGACTTAAACCCTTCGACTTCCGGATTTCAAGTCCGGCGCCCTAACCACTCGCCCACGCTGCCTCTAAACACCAATATGGTCTTCATAGTACAAGAACCAGTTGAAACATGTTTAGGGAAAATCAATGATGTTGGTAGACTTTCTAGAAGTCCTTTCCAATAATTCTTTCCTGGCCTGTTATCAAATAAACGTATGCATGTATGTATGTATGTATGTATGTATGTATGTATGTATGTATGTATGTATGTATGTATGTATGTATGTATGTATGTATGTATGTATGTATGTATGTATGTATGTTGTTACTTTCGTCGCTCGCGCTCGTGACTTCGTCGCTCGAAAATTACCATCTCGCTTCGCTCGAGGGACAGAAATAAGTCAAGGATTGAGGAAAGGTCGACTTGTGGCAAGTCTAGTGGCATGCCTGTGAACTAACTAGGTGTAGCCTGAAGTACGTTGATCGCTATAAACTAGGTACAACATTTGAGGAGGGGAGGGGTGGAGGTAGTCTTGAAAGCTACTCTTCGAAGCTAAATTTTTATTCACTCACTTAGTGGCACATTCCGCAGGTCTTTGGGCAACGAGTTCGGACAAAAGCAAAGCTCGGACTGCCCCGGATGTTGCAGATTTTGCTGTATCTCGTTTTCGTGCACATGCTGGGATAGCGATCCCTACAGCCTGAAATGGAATTTGTTATAACAGAGGCTAAGCACTATTATTAACCACTGGATCATTGGATCACGGTGTAATTGAAGAGTTTTCATTGGCTTAGCCATCATGGCATAAGAGCCATTGTTCCATGCTCTACAAATATGGTAAACATACGTGTATGTTTTTTTGGTGGGGGAGGGTTATTTTGTTTTAGTCTTCTATCTTTTGCTGGCGTTTTAATAGATTATTCCACTCGCGCTTGTTGGATATTAATTACCAAATGGTAAACGTCGCGGTCATTCCAGTCACTGGAGTTTTTATTGTAGCTTTAAAACTTAATAACTTCTCTAACTGAAAAAGATGCTAGACCGTCATAATTGACCCCAATTATGTTTCAACTGGTTTTTTTTCCCAGTCAGATACTAGCTCCTGTATCTTACTAGAAGTGGCGGTAGATTTTAAGTGAGAAACACTGCCAAAAAAAAAAAAGGAATTTCTTGCACAGGAACACATATTATTATATATAGTTCCGTCAAAGCAATGAATTGTCCGATCTTTAGACATGGAATTTTTAACCAAAATATTGAAGCTCTAGACAGGGCGAAGTTGACTCATTAATCAGAAAGCAGGAGGCTTGAAAGCTGAGAGAGAGAAGGAGTTTATATATAGATTTTACTACAGTAACTGTATTTGGGGCTGCGAACATCTGTTAACCCCGCAAACGCTTTGAAATAAATAACAACAGAAATATATTTTCATTGTTACCTCGTTTCGTTAGATCCAAGCTCTCCCCTAAAAAAAAAGGATTTAGTAACGGATTAAATGGCCAACAAACACGGTAAATAGCAGTTGATAATTATCGGTTTTAATATGAAAAGACTGTATGTAAGGTGATGACTCTCGGCTTGACTTCGTCAAGAAGACGATCAAGTGAGCCTCCAAGCTCAAAATTTGCAATCGAGGAAAAAAAACTTACCCTCTTCGTTATAATGACTTTGTGGTTTAATGGCGCGAGGCAGGCTGCTGGCAACTGTCACAGCGAGGAAGACTGCTAGACAAACAATGACAAGGTTCTCCATCTTAAAGAAGATGACTGGATCAAATTGAGGTAGAGATGCTTCGAAGAGCTTTATATATTTGATGAATGGGTTCTTAGTTAACAAAGCGAGACGATGAATGCGCATTGACGCAATCACCTGCTTATACGAAGACAAAAGCTATAATTAAAAAGAAGGTTTATATACTTGTTTTAAAGGTAAATTAGCGCATGTTTCATTGACCCTTAGTGGCAAAATATACATATCTATTAATTTACCAGCCTACAGGTGTCGATCACTTCAACACTACTATAGCTACCGTCGGCTAATCAGTTTTTTTTCAAGTAGGCCTCTTTGCGGTTTCTTCATTCACGTGAGTTCTTGCAGTTCTTGTCATTAGCAAGCTTTTGTTTTCATTAAACATTCGTACTCAGCCAGTGAATGTATTATGACTAAAATGATCTACTAAGAACTCTTCTGTAAGCGAGGGATTCAAGACAATAATACACATTTGTGTAACAGCAGGAGGGGTACGTGGCCTACTGATTTGATCATACAATGCAATTCTACATTCAGACCGAACTGACGGTGTTCTATATTTGGGCCAGTCGCCAGCATCTAATGAAACAGTGCCTCTCTCTGTCAAAGAGCAAAAAAAAGACATGTTTTTCCGAAAATTTTTATGAAATGATAATTTAACATGTTAATTTGGCTGAGAACCAATATCTAAGCTGTTTATATATGAAGGTTCACTTGGGGCATCTAATCACCAAAACATCACTTTTTTTTAACGATGCATTTTCTACGCCATATTTTTTTTCTTGCAATGCATTTTCCTACAGTTTTAACGCGACCTTTTTCTCAGCTGTTTAAAATTCCACGCTGCGCTAGAAGTATATATTACGTCTGAAATAAACCACATAATAAAACATAAATTAAAGCAACGTGCAGGAGATAAATGACAGAAAATATGCTTGTTTAAGATTCAGCAGGGGGGTACAAAGCCCAATGGCTACGTGCGTCAGACTTTACTAAGATCAAGAGTTCCGCGATTAATTCGAGACGGGGTCATTGGGCCGTCTTTTTCGGGTAAAGAACTTTAATCTCGCCATGTCTCTTTCTAAGGAGTATAATAAAATTTGCACCAGGGCAACATGGCGAAATATTTTGGAAGTGAGAAGAGAGGTAATAACTCTTTGTGATACAGAAAGGGTCATTTTCACGGCATAGGGTAACACCACTAAGGCGGCTCTGTGCAATGAAAAGGAAACTGTTGCTATATCTGGTTTGAGTAACATCTTGATTCCACTTGTTTTTTATTTTTATTTCTTTTATTTTTATGAAAACAATACTAAGTCACGAAGTAATGTTGGATATTTCACTTGTTGTCAACTGTCACTGGTTCCCGTCATACCTTACTGCCACAAATTTTCGCTGTAGCTAATTTTAGTATGGTTTCATAATGATAGCCGCCTTGATAACTCTTTTACAATTATAATACATTTTAACAACGTCGGGTTATTCTGGAATATTTAAGACGAGCCGATTTATGAAAATTGACTTTTTTTCAGTTTTGTCCCTTAGAAGAACAGATGGCTTCTTCAAATATTATATCCATACAGTGTTGATAATACTCTTTGATACCGTAAATTTTTCGCAATTTGGCAGCGCACGTTTTCTACTTATTTGTTATTATGGCTACATTTTTCTTGCGCTTTACAGTCACGAATTTTGCCTCTTTTCGTGACCTTATATGGTCAAACATTAAAAATGTTAAAAAATAATAATACCGTAAATATGGCTTGCTTTACAGATTGAGCGACATTGCCGAGAGCTAATGAAAGAAGCCTTGAAGATAAAAGTATACCCTAAATTTTAATACTGAAACATACAAACGGAACTTACATAAATGCGATTTCCACGCGGAGGCTCTTTCTTTTGCGCGAGTCAACAATTTAGCGGGATTAAAAGTAGTTTCTTTTCTTTCTGGGCCGATGATAGTTGATGTCGTTTTTTTAAATTCTTCCTCCGAATCACCACTTTTTATCACTTGAGGTACTTTTAAGGTACCAAGAGAATATGATCTTGATACTTGTCATTTGAAGCCGTTTTGTCACTCTTCTTTCTTCTGCGCATATTTTCTCGATCGAAAGGAGTTAAATTTCGAGTAAAGTAGTCTCTAAATTAAGATCACGGAAACGATTGTGATGACAATTTTTCTCCCTTAATTTTAATTCATTTTCCCCCTCTCGTTGAGTCGCGAAAATTAAAACTCGCGATATATGCCACCATCGTTTTCGTAAAATTATATTTCGGACTGAGCTCATCTATGGTCGCTGTGCCATTCTACCGACACGTATTAAAAAAAGCTTATTTTGTGAATCACCAGGCTTTATTTGGCGTGATAATTTAAATATGCATGACTAGTAAAAAATCAAGCACAAAAACGATCAAATTAGAATTACTAAAAAAATAGGAAAAAAATTAAAATTAAAATTAACCGCAAAGCAAGTTGTCTCCTGCCTCTGCAGCAAAACGACTCCAAGTGAAAAACTTTGCATATGAAAAATTAGTTTTGATTAATTAATACTCGTTTTCATATAGACATGTGAGCATGCTCCCCTTAAGCTCTAAAATTCGCGGGGAAGAACGTAAAAAACTGATCACTTGAGGTACTTTTAAGGTACCAAGAGAATACAATCTTGAATGTACTTGTCATTTAAAGCCGTTTTGTCACTTTTCTTTCTTCTGCGCATATTTTCTCGATCGAAAGCTTAAATTTCGGGTAAAGCAGTCTTTAAATTAAGATGAAACGAATACAGTGACAATTTTTCTCCCTTTGAATTCATTTTTCGCGCAAAAAAATGAGCGAACGAGTGCGATGTTTGAGCGGTGAAATCACGGCTCACAGCTTCACCCCTTCTGCACCTTGCTTAATGTTTTCGTTCTTCTCCGTGATTTTAGAGAAAATTAAAAGAGAGGGCCGCTATTTTATTTTCATATGAACAGACTCCTTTCGACTGGCCGTTTTATATATTATATTGACACTGGACATGGGCTCCAGTGGTATGAATGCAGCTGGTAATCTGGGTACAAGTATGCGCCAGCGATGCTACATGTAGGAGCAGTATCAACCATGAGACTACCATTCAAGATGGCGGCTGGCAAAGCTGGAAACTTTGTCTGAGAGACGTTATAAACTTTGGCTCTTCCCACAATGAGGTTACTAAAACCGGGCTGGGTTTCGCATGAAGGTAAGATGCTAGCAGATCGAGAGTTTTGTCGATGTTTTGTCTCTGTAATATTGCACGGGCGAGAATTGAAAAAACGCGCGTTAGTTTACTTGATCATTTGACGTTTAGTCTATCAGTGTGTTCAGTGCTTTAGTGTATACATCTTAGTGCTTACTGCAAATTTGTAGATTATCGTACTTTTTGCATATTTCGTAGACCATTTTTTGTGAACTGCATGCTGCAGCAAGTTTAATTCAAATGCCTTTTTTGTGATCAAAAGTCTTATCCAGATTTTACTAACTTACATGTAGCTCTAACGTTGTCAGTGAATATTCGATTTAAAATCATAGAAAAACGTGATTTCATCAGTTCCAAATGTGGAATGTAATTTATAAACACTGTTGCTTTATAACCTAATGGGAAAGGTCGGACTCACAAGTGCACTCATTTCGTGCAGTGCACATGTTGCCATATGATTTATATTTCTTGTCCATAAATGTACATGTATACAAGATATTTTAAATTCTTAAGATATTCAAACTTCTAATAAAGCACTTGTTAATGGTTTTCTCAGGGAGGCCACTCTTTTCCATTGACATTCATCCTGATGGTTCTCGATTTGTTATTGGTGGTCAAGGTGGGTATGGATTGTTTTCCAATCTTTAGCAGTGCTAAGTACTTTCCTTTTATTTGTCCTAGTAATTTCAATTTGCTTTTTATTGGCAGCCTTATAATTCGAGACAGTGAGTATATTATAAATGGAATTTCAGAAAACAAAGAATGCATCAAGAGCCAGGCAAATTGACTGGTTCTGAGGATGTTTTTGCCCCCCCCCCCCCCCCCCCCCTACCCCCCTGGTTAAACCATCTGGATGAAAGTTTTTCTTATAAAGAAGTTCAGTTCAAAAAGCTTTGCCCGCCTGTGACAACCAGTTGTCCTCCTACTTAAAACGTCAATTTTCTCTTATTACACATGGCAGGAGATGACTCAGGGAAGGTTACAATCTGGAACATGGCACCGGTTCAAAATGAGGAAGATGAAATGAATGAAAATGTTCCAAAGTTATTGTGCCAAATGGACAACCATCTTGGTAGGTTATCTTTCTTAATCAACTATCTATAGCATTTAACGTCTGAATGTACTTTAATTTGCAGTTGCATTAAAGCTGGTGCATGCAATGTACAAACTGTACAAGGCATTGGGTGTCCGTTCACATAGTTGAACACATGGCAAAGTAAGGGATAAAAAAACAGGTAGACAAACCGTTTAAAATGGATACCCTGAACGACTGAATGGCTGCAGAAAAGTTTTGAATGGGTGAAATCAAACAGCTGAGCAGCTCAAGAAGACTTTGAATGGACAGCTGAGATGAATGTTTGAATAGTATCCCTGCCCACTTGAACAGCTGTTGAATGGCCTTTGAATGGCTCTTTATTTCAAAACAGCTGGCTAGAATGTCAGGAATGTCTGTGCATAAGAGGTCACATGTTATGGAAATTACTTGCTTGCTTGTGTGGTTGCTGGCTGCAACCAGGTACATTTACTGTACATGTATAATTCATTTATTTAGTAAGCCTTGATTCTGCCAATAATTTATGTGCTATTTTTTTCAAACCATTCTTTTTTTCAGCTTGTGTGAACTGTGTTCGTTGGTCTTGTGGTGGCAAATATCTTGCTACTGGTGGAGATGACAAACTTATTATGATCTGGCAAATGGCAAGGTACATAAAAGAAACTGCTGATAATAAAAAAAAAAAAAAATAAAGAAAGTTTTTGTAATTATAGCCAACAAATTATAACAATGATATTGATTAAGTAATAACTTAAGATTAAAAACATACTGTACACTAGATATAACTTTAGTTAATTAATTTGATCAAATTTTTGATAGGTATTTGGGTCCAACAGCAACATTCGGTGGAAATAGTGGCAAATTGAATGTAGAACAATGGAGATGCGTTTATACTTTACGAGGTCACACAGGAGGTGAGCCCATGACCACATGTACATGTATTCACATCAACTGTATTATAATTCTGAAATGCATGGGGATGCTGCTTTTGATATTACACAACTGTGCAGGTAGGTTTTATCTTTATTTTGTTTCGTTCTTCATTAAGCTGATTACTTTCTGACATGCACACTTTTCAATTATAGATGTGTTGGACATGGCGTGGTCACCCGACGACAGCTTCCTTGCATCAGGAAGTGTTGACAACACAATCACAATATGGAATGCTCAAAGATTCCCAGGTTTGTAACCTTGGTACAGCTTTGGAGGGTGATTAAATTTTCTGTTTTCTGTCTGTCATTAAGTCCCACTAGAAATGCAGTTTTGAAGTTTTGATTTCACATGGAAGTGAGTAGTGACTGCTGATTACAGTAGTAGTTTGGTGCACTATAGGTACTGTTTGGGTTCTGGATTGAAGCAACTGAGGTTTAAGCTTGGCTTGCTCAAGACAGCTCACTCTAACAGAGCCATCTCCCCATTCTGTCTGAGAACAAACAGGAACTATTAAATTCTCAGGGCACCCTGATGACATCCTGTGGCTGAAGGAGGAGGCAGGTAGAGGGGGAAACCTGCAACAACTAATTTCCTCACTCAAGGCCCTGTTCTAAGAAAAATTACAAGGAGCCCAAAGTTTCCTAACCATGAAATCCTGGGTGCCCAGCACTTTAGCTTACATGTAGTGTATGTAAGTTCCAGTCGTCCAAAGGCAAAAGTTAGTCACTTGGAGTGTATGGTACCTGGCTGGGCATTTCTAGAGCACATGCCCCTTCAAGGCTGCTGCCTAATGGGCACCCGGTTGCCTGAGGCCCCTAAGTTATGAATGCAGGCGACTAAAGTTTTGTTCAAGGAGCGCAAGTGGGCACCTAAACATGGAGTTTTCATTCCGATCTAATCTGTCCGATGACTTCAATCTTCTTATAAAAATGGGTCAAAAAATCATTCACACAGTAAATTAAACGGAAAACAACAGCTACTCTGTTCCTGGTTTGCTATTATCACAAGAGATATGGGCCAAAACATGGCAACAAAGTCTCTCTCTGCTCACAAAACAGCCGAAAACAGTCATACATGTATTTTAAAATCGCCCTATAATGCATTGCAAGCTCAGTATTGAGAAAAATGTACATCATGTCTGCCAATGGATTGTGTCTCTGTTGATGCATTACTGATTCCAATTTTGATAACAAATAGTTTTGGAATTGGAGTTATGATGCTGCTGACATTTTTCACAATTGAATGAAGATAAATTTGCTTAAATTCTTGGGCTTTTTTTTGCCTGATACTTTGACAAACTTCACTTACATGTACTGAATGAATTTCTTAAGTTTCTGAAAGGACTGTTTACGACTTAAAAGTTGAAATATTCAAGTAACTAGCCAGCAAACAGAAAACATCATTGCAATTCTTTGTGCATACTAGAGTTTATATTTTAGATATTAAATTATCAAACAAATAATCATGACTCTGCCCAAGACAAGAATATATTTTTTTCCAAAAGAGCTGCCAATATAATGTGTGGTAATGCTGTCTCAAAATCACCAAAAGCTGCACCACTTGCATAGAATACTGTAGTATTCTTCCTCAGTCATGACCTGATCACTTTGCTGAACACTTGATTTAGAAAATTTGATTGATAATTTAGACCGAATTATTAGTGTCTCATGGAAAATCTCAACAGAGAGAAAGGGGCTACCCTGGGCCCCTCCCCTAAATTTCCACAACTCACTCCAACACCCGCCTCCCTCCCTCCCAAAGATTGACCATGGCAANCCCCCCCCACCCCGCATCTTTCCCAACCTCCCCAACCCCCAGGAATGACCATGGCAAATTTTATCCTGGGCTCCTAAAAAAATGGCTTGGGCTTCTTAAAAATTTCCTTAGGCAACAGCCTTATGCCGGGCCTTCCAGAAGGAAAGCTATTTTGCATGCACACCGTTCTGTACATTGTTATCTTATGTTGGGTTTTACTGGTGGACAGAAAAGCTATCAGACTGATTTGACTGCTAGGATTTGATTATTGATTCTCTTTTTTAAAAGCTCTCCCCCTTGTTTTTCAGACATTGTAACTGTTTTAAAGGGACACAGTGGAATGGTTAAAGGCATCACGTGGGACCCAGTCGGTAAATATCTTGCTTCTCAATCAGATGACAAGACTTTAAGGGTGTGGCGAACATCCGATTGGCAGCAGGAGAGTGCCGTTAGCGAGCCCTTTGCTGATTGCAGTGGCACAACACATGTCCTGCGCATCAGCTGGTCCCCGGATGGACACTATGTGGTGTCGGCACATGCCATGAACAATGGAGGTCCTGTAGCGAAGATCCTTGAGAGAGATGGATGGAAAATGAAAATGGATTTCGTTGGGCATAGGAAAGCTGTCACATGTGTGGTGAGGGTTCTAAATGATAAATAAGGTTTACAACTTGTGAAGTTTTACCTTAATTAAAGATGTCATCCTGTCCTCAATAAAAAGAGAAATTTTGATAAAGTACAAAAAATAAAACTACAAGAAAAACATAATTTTGGAAACAAACTTTTCTTTACCTGATTTTTCCTATATTTGCTACTGTCCTGTAGGAGGCTCATAATTCAGCTAAGGGTTGAGAGGGGGAACAAGGAGAAAATTTGCCAATAGCTCATAAATTGTTAGGGAATGGTTTCAAATTCTGCTATACCCCAGGTAGGGAATGTAGTTGCACAGCCATGTACAGTAATCAATCAAGCTTAATTGACTTATTGTGAAATTGCATGTGCCTCTGAACAGAGATTTAACCCCAAGCTGTTTGTGAAGAAAATCGGTGAGGACTCACCCAGACTCAAGGTACATTAATCTTTGCTCTTTTATAATTTATTTAGTATTTATCTATATGAGGTGCAAGGTAAACCATGATTTATATTAGACTGAGAGTCATTCTCACTAGCCTGCAAAATAATTCCTTACTAGCAAGATAACTATATTCCAAATTAAATTAACACAATATAATTTCATCTCTTAAAGTACACTTAGTAATTTGTTAGTGATTTGAATTCCTGGATAGATATACAAAATAACTTCACTTGCATGTTGGAGAAACAAAGGATAGAATCCTCTAGCTGAACTACAAAGTCCTGGGCTTTTGGATATGACTTTCTTTGCTCATTGCAAAATTATATCCAATCCTTCAACTAACTTCAACTTCTTTGGAAATCTTAGTAATATTTGAGTCAAGGTACATGAAAATGCATGTGTTTGTACTACACACATTTACAATAGTTTGCTCTGTTTTTCTCTAGCAATATTCTTGTTGTGCAATTGGAAGCAGAGACAGATCACTTTCAGTATGGGTAGGTTCACATTTTGAGTTAAGAAATATAAAGTAAGATTTACTTTGTAAGCCTGGGCAGAGTGAAAAGCACTGTATGAACCAGCACTACAATCATCTCAGCAGTGTATGGGAAACCTTACCAGGGTTTAATACTTAAACATGTTTGTACCCAATGCACCAAATACCGAAATAAAGTATACAATACATTGTGTAATTATAATGGAATTATAATTGATTTTGTGTTGTTTATCACAACAGTTAACATCCCTTAAGAGGCCCCTGGTTGTCATGCATGACTTGTTCAATCACTCAATCATGGATGTGTCCTGGTAAGGCTGTTATCTATAATGTATAACCCAGTGTCAGATGCCTGATAACAAACACACAAATGTCTATGCAAGGGCCATTTGTTGGTTGAACATAATTGAATTATAAAAAGCAGACTTGGAGCATGCAGAGTTAAATTGATACATGGGTGAAGTCTGCATGCGAGTCAAGTCTACGCCCCCCTGGATGGGGTGCTAGTCCATCACAAGGCTACCCCCAGCATTAAGTTTGACGGTACCCATTCCTACATCTGGGTGGAAAGAGGCACTGTGAGAGTAAAGTGTCTGGCCTCAGAACACAATGCAGTGACCCCAGCCAGGGCTCCAACCCGGACTGCTCAATCCAGAGACAAGTTCACTAACCATGAGACTGCCATGCCTCCCTACTACTTGAAACAAGTCAGTTGTTACTTTTATTCTTCACCTCGTTTTATTGTTTGTTTGCTGATTCTTTTTTTGTTCCCTTTTTTTTTTGTTGCAGGAGTGATTCAGGATTTCAGCTGCTGGTGTGTTCCTGGGATGGAACAGTGGCATATGCAGATTTCACAGCAGAGGAAGTTGGTAGACCAATGTCAGAGGAGGAAAAGGTACATGCAAATGGGCATGTTTTTGTTATCAGACTATAAATAATCCCTTTAATTAAAAAAGTCAGTCAGGTACCGTATTTGCCTTGTCAGAATGCAATAACTACATGTAAAGGTACTACACACTCTAGTCACCTTGCAAACTTACATTTAATCTTGTTCTGTACAGGAAAAGTTTCACAAGCAAGTCTATGGTGTTAGCATTAGTAGTAGCAAGTCCAACTTTGCCAGTTCAATCATTGAAAATCCTGAGATGCTGAAGATACAGCAGAGGCATGTTATGAAGCAACAGACACTAGCCAACACTAACAAACCTCCGGCACCTCCTCCTCCGCTGATCCCGTCTGGGACACCCACTAAACAGGACTCATCCACAATGAATGGTATGTGTGATTGTTTCATATTAACCCTTTCTGGCCTCAGGCTCAAAGACAATACAACTGTACAATTGTACACTTTGGTTACCTTTGCACACTGGTGGGTGAATAACAAAATGTCCTGGTACTTGATGGAATACTGTAAAGTCTGCAATGTTTTTGAGTTATTTTTTTGTAAAAAAAATACCTCTTAGTCGGCGCGTCGGGTATNTAAGCAGTCCTTCAATTGAATCCAGAAAATTTTCTACCTGCTTGGTGACTGTTACGTGCGATGATCGCCAATGCATGTGAGAATTCTAAACAGTTGGGAATTATTCACAAACATAAATACTCTTAAACTATAAGTGCACCTGAACAATTAATGTTTACGGAAAAAATCTCTCTAAGCATGCATGAAATCAAAACATTTTTGTAAATTAATGTTTTTCTCTATTCTCATAACCTGTCTGCCTGGAATTGTATTGCTGTCATTATGAGAAATTAGAGATTGATATACATTCTGTCTTTCAGGGAGCACTCCCAGTAAAAGTCCTACATATTGCTTAACCAGTCCAGTCACCAAAAGCCCAGCAGATCTTGTTGTAAGTGTTTCAAGTGTGTACTGTGTACATGTATCATGTTCAATGTGAGTCAAAAGTGTTGGGATTCTTATCTTGACCCCTTAGTACTGCATGCTACAGTTTTCACTAGCATGGGGGGCAAGTCGAATGGACTCCTTTAGCCCCTCTCCATGGACAACTTTTGCTGTTGCTATTGGGGGTGGGGTGGGGGGGTGGGGGGTGGGTGGAGAGTTCAAGAATTCAAAAGCAAGGATGGAAATACCTTTTTATAACGGCAGCAGTACAGTATGTTGACCTTTTTTGAGACTACAGATTGTACTTCTCAGACAAGTCTCCCAGCTTTTTTGACCTGTTTTGCACCTGTTTGCACATGCTGAAATAAAAAAAAGTTGGATTCTGTTAATACGCCTTGTATACCTTCTTGGCTTCTTCAACCCATTATACAACCTGTACGGAATAATACCAACAAAGGTCTATACTAAGGAATACAATACTAATTTATTGCTCATATTCTAGATTTTTATTCCTTCTCCTGTGAAGTCGTGCGTTAGATTTTCACATGAACTGACGAGTGTTTTAAGGTAAAATAAGTTGTACGTACTTTGCCTCTGACCTTAGCATTTTTCTTTCGTGCAGAATGTGAAGGAGAAACAAGTGGAAACAAGGACAAAAGATGGCCGCCGCCGTATAACTCCACTATTGGTTTCAACCATGGAAGTTAGGTGTGTTGTGTGTCTCTTCTTCTTTTACCCTGGATTGCTGTTGCTGCGGGTGCTCCATAATGTTCAGGGCAATTCTCTCTTTCATCTCACCCCACGAGAAGTTAGCCTTATAAACTGATTCAACTTCATACTCAGTCGCTGCATACTCTAAGTAGTTCTTACTTTCTCTAAGATTTTAAATTGTGCGGCCATTTTCCCGCTCGCTTTGATCCATTTTCACAGAGCTTTGAGGATAACCGAGCGTTCCTTGGTCAATACGTAAAGCTGTCTTAAGGGAGCTCAGTCACGGAACTTTGAGTTATTTTGCCGGCCGCGCACAAAATTACCTTTTAATTGAAGGAAATCTGAAAATAGTAGTTTATTAAGATAGAAAACACCAAAGAGTTAAAAATAAACCATAAAGGAACAAGCATAGTTGAGGATGGAGAAGATAACCACGAATTACAAACGACGAAGTTGAAAAATTTAGGCTAAACTTTTCAATATGCGCAAATTGTGACTTTGCTCCTTTAAGCTGAATTGTCTACGTGTTATAGATGAACGGCCCTACAGTGTGAGGCTTGGCTTTCTTCTAGAACTCTGCACAAACAAACTACATTTGTATTTCATTTTTTTTTTTTTTTTGATCTGTTCAACAGTGATTCACCGCTTCCATTTGGAGGCTCCTCGACGGCCATCTCGCCCCCGGGTAATTCGAACCTGAGCAGTACATCACAGGCATCGTCCGCTATTCCAACCACGAGTCAGGTAACAAACTGAACACTTGTCTTCTGATCAGGAATCTTCGTTTGGAAGACTACACTGAACCATAAATTTACAAGCCAAAATAGCATGCCCCAAAATTTACCACACAAAAATTGTAGTACGTGTAATTATTTGGTTCCTCTCTAGTACTTCTCGGATGGTTCGCCGGAAGTCAATTCCATTTGAGCATTTGGAACTCCCCACAACTTGTGGAAGCCGAAGATATGTGTTTCGGGACGAATCTGTAGTATCCACTTTAACTCAACGTTTTTTTGCCATTGTTCGCTCGGACAGAAATCAGTGCTCCTAGAGCTCTCCGCGATGTTTACAAGTTAGCCTTTTCTAGGCTCTCTTTTGTGGTAGCCTGCGTTGCAGCCGGACGTCTCATAAAATTCCACATATACCAGACTATACCGGCGGTTTAGACTGTCTGCGACGCAGGCTATTTTGTGGGGGTAAATTTTTTTTTAAAATCAGTTTAAAATGGCTCGTTTGTGACAGAGTAGTTAAGACTCGACAACAGTTTTATACAGAATTTGATTTTCCCGAGAGTAATGACCGCCTCAAAGATATGACCCGAAGTTTTGTTAAATAAACTAACCGTGAAAGCGATGCTCTCACTACTTCCTGATCCGGAATTCTACAGGATGTAAGTTCTTATCTTACAAGGTTAGGAAAAGCTTGTTAATGTTTTACTTATTATGATCTAGACTTTGGTGGCTCTGGACTCTAGAATTGGGGAAAATGCGACTACTGGATTTACAAGCAAGTAAGAGGCATTTAACTACTGTCATTTAATTATTAACAGTTCAGGTGTACAACCCTGTGTGGCTCACAGTTCTCTGTGATCTACTAGCAAACATGTTTACAAAGCCTTCAATGTAGTATTTTTAAATTCATGTGGTACTGGACAACTTTGACGAGAAAACAATTTGTGGCGCAAAGAATTTTACGGACAACTGAGATAAGCACCTGAGTTTCATAGTTTTACGTTTCACAACTGCGTAGCTATGTCCCTTCAGCATTACATGAAGTATAGTCCCGGCTGAGGTCATGTAGAGTCCCAATTGATTTATAGTGGATTGATAGTCAAGTTCGAACTACATGTAAGCCACATGAACCATGCAATCCAAGATGTGCCATAAAATAAGACAGCACCTCTGCAGCGTTAGTAAGCACCTTTGACAAACTCGCTGCATACGTTTAGGCAAGAAAGCTGTTTACAAAATTACGTGCTAACCTGTGTAGCGGAGGGATTTCGAGCTACTAATTACTATATCTTAGAACAGTTTTCAATCGAGGGTTGTGAACCCAAACCAATGTAATCACTGTAGCCAATCACAAAGGACACAGACAATCCAATGTAGCCAATCAACACTTGAAGTAAATACATGTCGCTGACTCGAAGCGCGGGAAAACGCGTTAGAATGAGTCTCAACTGGTTTTGCTTTTACTTCTGATTGGATGAAAAAGTGGCGCGAGTTGTAGCGTAGAAGTTCAAAATCAATTACTTTTCAACGCTCAAGTGAAAACCGCACTATCTTTAGATCTAAAGACAAGACTCCAGAAAAAGTCGAGATTCTTCCTGTAAAAACCGTCTCCGCTACCATGAAACCCATCACGGCAGCAAAAGCTGCCTCTACAACGACAACAACTGCATCAGTGACAGCTGCGACAACCACGGCTACCACCATTGCAGTGAAGAGAAAGGCAGATGCTCCTACAACATCACATAGTAAAAGAGCAAGGAAAGATGGCAGCACTTCTGGTTTGTATCCGTTGAATTTAATTTGCTGTTTTATTTAAAAGTTATTCGTAGTTAGTCCTGTCAGGTTTGATGGGTACCATCGCATGTCTCTGACAGCACTTTCTTTTCGTCCAAGCGAGTACGTGTTTTTGTCCTAACTCGCTGCAACAGTTTTCGCGCTCTTTCCAATTTCAGTCTTAGCGTCGAGTTCAACTCCTAGAATGCTTATCGATTTGTAATATAATTATTGATTCTACTCTTTTCTTTTTTAGGTTCAAAGGGTTCCAGTAGCTCAAGTACGGTAAGTACATTTTTTGTAGCCTTTAGTATAGCCTGGAACGATTAATATATATATAAAGCGAATAACGTTTCACAGTACGTTGTGCGGTGCATTCCAAAACTTCCAACACTTTCTCGACAAACCTCGGACTTCAGTTCAATTGAGATGAAAGAATGCGACATTTTCATCTAACTCTCGCTGTGCTGGGAGGACGGTCAAATGTCGACAACATTTTTCTTTATGCGTGATTTTTCTCCACTGCGATGAAGGATAGAGATGTTTGAATGATTAGCTGAAAATTTGAATTCTCCTAATTGTTACCGTACATTTCTTTAAAAATTAGCACTGAGAATTTATTAGTACATCAAAGCGGTATCCATTGTTGGATGATTTTCTTTATTCTCGTCACCTGAATGCTTGACATTGTATTGTTCATGCGAAACAGAAATCGGATTTTGATCACTCCTGTTTTTTCACAGTCCAAACAGAGAGATGATAGAACAGACCAAGAGGAAAGTGTTGATGCTTCTTCGCACATAAGGCACTCTGTCGCCATTCCTTACCCGACTCCACAGAAAAGCCTCACAATGCAGGTAACTGGGTTACTGTCTAAAGGATGACAAATGAAAATGTAGCTTGACAGAGAAACGCCCCCGCCCCCCCTGAGAATCCCACATCCCGTTAATTTTGGCTTGCGTTATTCTGTTTCCCGTTATTTCCAATTGCAACGATTAACGGTTTTCCCACTTGATATCCTGTTTGATCTGATCTAAATGTCCCATATCCCATCATTTTTTCTCCTAGATATCCTGTATCCGGTTAATTTTTTACCTAAATTTCCCATTTCCCTAAAACTCGTAATTAATCTATAGTAACACTCCTCCTGCTGCTTATTTTTTTATTCTTTTTTAATCCTTGCTACAGATCAAAGGTTCTGGAGGCGAATCTGCCCTTACGCTGGACTTAGATAACAACTTGGCTAGCCAGGGTAAAGTGTTTACGCACAATCATCCAGTGAAGACAGTATATCGATACAGTAACTCTTGTAATTTAATTTTAGCCGGGTTTTCACAGCAGTATGTGAGGCGTTTGGATCATAACTGTTTTCCTAGTAGCATTCTAGTCCATAGTTTGATGGTGTAGATAGAGGGGATGCATGGATAAAGCGATACTGTGAAAGTGAAAAAAGCTCATTCACAACTTGGTCTAACTCTTAAAGGAGCTGCGTCGCGGTTTGCGCGTCTGGAAAGTTTAGCCTTAATTTGTCAAGTTCGTCGTTTATAATCCGTGTTAAACTTCTCCATCCCATCCTTGTTCCTTTATGGTTTATTATTATCTTTTTGGTTTTTTTTTATCTTGGCAAACTACTTTTTTCAGGTTTCCTTCAATTTAACGGACAATTTTGCGCATTGTCAACATAACCCAAAATACCATGACTGAGTTCCTTTTCCCCGTGCAACGACCATTTGTCCCGCAGAGTCTGTCAGCTCAGGTGTAAGAGAAGTCTTGCTATCAAGTCCCGGCCAAACGATCGCAACATGTCAACGCAACATATCGCAACATCGTTGGGCGCGACATGTTGAGTGTTATTGGCTCAAATTTGACCATTTTCAAACTTGAGCCAACAACACCCAACATGTCGCAACACGTCGCCACAGGGTGGCCAAACGCGCGCAACATGTTGCACCCAACAATGCCGCGATATGTTGCGATCGTTTAGCCCGGGCTTTAAAGTGAAAGACGATCACCCAGCGACAAAGCGAAGTTCTAACAGCAGGGACGTTTAATAATATCGCACCAACATTTTGAACAGTAAATTTGAACAATTTTGTACCGCCTTTATCAGTCTTGCTTTATTTATTTGCACTGACTCTTTTAGGACCCAGAGTGCATGTCCTGAAGTGCGGTACCGCTGGTAACCCACTATGGGAGACCGTTATAATGAGCCCTGGTATAGCCCTGGCTGGTAATCGGTGAGTGTCTGTGACGTGCATTAGGCTTTCCGTGAGTACGGTTTTCACGCAATATCAACAATTTTTCTTATTTTTCAAATAAACAAAAAAATCACCCCCATAGTTAATCTATGCATGCCAGCATACAGTTCTTTGTAAGAAATTGCAAGTTAGGGCTCCTATATTCATATGAGTTTGCAACGAATCGTAATGAAACTTCACTTATTTCCTAAATTGAAGCGGTGCGGTTTATTTTTTGTTTGAATGAAGAAATCGGAAAAGCGTGACATCGCTAAAAAGGTCCATATATTATTTATCTTTATTAATATAACTAAAATAAAATGTCCGCCATTACTGGATAGCCGTCTATGGTATAATGTCTGCCATGTTCATACATTTGCCATTGTGTTTTATTTTGAAGGCAAGTGATCTGTGTTGCTTGTGAGAACAGAAGTATCGACATGTTTTCATCCACTGGACGAAAGTAAGTAACCAACTCCTGCTTTTATTCGGCTTTTAAGTTCTGTTTTGAAACATCGTCAAGTATAAGCATGGAAAAACCAGTCGAACCTCCCAAGTTGTCGCTTGCTGGGGTGGATCCAGGATTTTTCATAACGGGGCTGGGCGGGGGGGGGGGGGGGGGGGGGNGGGGGGGGGGGGGGGGGGGGGGGGGGTTGGGGGAGGTGGTTGGTCATTTGGAATTGCAGAATCAATGAGGTATGTTCCCAAAATGTTGCAATTCGAGAATTGGAACTTAATTGAAAACCGTTTCACTAGAAATACTAGCAATGCCACAAAGTAGAAATCACAATGACGTACTTGTTCAGAGAGTTTGCCTTTAGTTCTGCCATAATATTCACAACCTTTTTAAAATATTTTTTCTTTTGTTTGAACTGATCGAGTCATGCGCGAATCCTTTCAGTAACAAACAAAAAATAATTCCAGATTTGAATAAAAATATTTACAGAGTCTGCTCTGAAAAACTGAAGATATTTTAAATAGATGACAAACTACCTATTTGAAGATAGTAGTTTTCCAATTGTGTCATCCGAGTGACGTGCTTGCTTTAGTGACACCTTGATGTCTGTTTTTGAGTAGAATCCTGCCATCCATGGTGTTAGACTCGCCAGCCTCCATTCTGCAGTGCAGTCGTCATTACGTCATGGTCGTCACCTCCTCTGGAGGAGTGTTCGTTTGGTGAGTATTACATGAAGATCTCTTTGTAAAACCTTCTGCTCCCCAGAAGATTTCCTGCGTTTATATATAACAGTTGTCAGCAAATATCAGATAACCGTTTCCCTTGAAGTTTTTAATCTATTTGTTATTATTATTTTTCGGAATGAATAGGCGAGGAAAACACAAATTGTGTTTTGTGTTGTAGATTATGAGTAGTCCCTCTTTCGCCTAGTCCGTCGCGCGTCACGCGAAAGAGACGGCAAGAAAAAAATGGCCGCGTGAAATCGCGCGGCCATATACGGTTGCGCTCGACGGACTAAGCGAAAGAGGGACTACTCGTAATCTGTTTGTGTTGTCGTTCATATGCTGTTGGAAAAGAAGACTTGTTTTCACGACGCTACATTTCAATGACATTTACTTTCAAATAGGGACACGAAGAGGGTCGCTGCTGTGCTGAAAAACGAGCCAGTTCTTCCACTCTTATCGGGTAAGTTCTGACTTTACAAAATCGACTTTTTTTGGTTAGAGCACTCTTATATTGGTCACTGGAACTTCTGCGAGGTTTTTGTCTTGTTTTTTTCCTTCATAAATTGAAGTGAAATCAAAAGAATAGTGATAATGTCAGTAAATATTTTTAGCTCGCAAACTGACTTGCGTATTTGTTCGTGCTTTCTGCTTATCCAGGTCCTGATATCACCATCACCCGAGCCTCAATATCAGAACGCGGGTTTCCCATCATCACTTTGTCCAATCATGCTTCGTACTCCTTTGACACATCCGTCGGGGCCTGGTGAGGAACACATTATGACTAAAAGGTTTTAGGCCCCGCGCAAAGAGTGAGATTTAAAAGTGTTATTTTGACTGAAGCATACTTAACAAATTGACGTCAGTTTTTTATGCGTCTGTCCTCTTATTGATGATAAACTGCCTCATAACATTGTCAAAGTGGCTGTGGAACCACGAGCCGTAGGCGAGTGGTTCCGCAGTAAACTTTGACAATGTTATGACCAAATTTATCATCAATAAGAGGACAGACGCATAAAAAACTGACGTCAATTTGTTTTTTTTACAATAACAAGACCCCAAAATGGTCAAATACCGGGAATAAATGAGGTGAAAAGACGCCGTAAACTTGTCGTAAACAAAGATAAGTGAATTATATTCAAAATGACGCGAACATTGTCAATAGCTTTTCTCGCTTTTTGATTGGCTACTTAAAAAAGTCAATAATATCTCATTGGTTAAAAAGTTGACAGTTTGACAGCTGAAAGTTGAACTTGTAAGTTTGCATAAAGTAAACTTTTATCCGTCTGTACTCTTATTGATGATAAAAATGAGCCAATCAGCGCGCGAAAAATTAGACAGTTATTGTAAAAATTGTTTATGGCCAAACTACTACTGCTGTGCCAGCTCCTCTCTAGCTTTTGGAGTCCGAGGCTTGCTTGTAAGTTCTGTCAAAGGAGCTCAGTCACGTTATTTTGAGTTATTTTGGCCACGTACTAAATTACTTTTAAATTGAAGGAAGCCTGAAAATAATAGCTTACCAAGATAGAAAAACACTAAAGAGTTAGTGTAATAATTTAACAAAGGAACAAGGACGCCTAAGAATGGAGAAGATTAACACGGATTACAAACGACGAACTTGGAGAATTTGGGCCAAACGTTTCAAGATGCGCAAGGCGTGACGTAGCTCCTTTAATATGCTTCTTCGCGTCCCTTGCAGGGTACAGCTAATCTATGCTGAAGACCTCTTGGCCATCAACTCCGACCATCAATCTGTAGCACCATCCCAAGATCCTCTACAGGCAAAGGGACCTCTTGCCCAGCTCCAAGGGCAGAATTCCAGGTTGGTAAAAGCCTTGTGCACGGTGTTGCTTATCACAGTAATATTTAACTAATCAGTTGTGTTTGATTGTAATTTATCTTAAGTAGATGCTTACGTAGCTTATAGATTTCTGACAAATTTTTCATTTGAATTATCCAGATTGTAGCTCTTGGAATTAGCTGGGAAGCTTTGTGCTTATGTCCCTTAGGTCTTAATTAAATAATGCAAAAACAAACTGAAAGTAAACAAAAAAATGTTAATACCATGCTGAAATAGCTGAAAAGCTGGGGACATTTACTACAGTAGAGGCTTCGCTATCTCGAACTTGGTTACCGCAAATTCCTTTCTCTTATTATACTTTTCAATCATTAACAGTTTTTTACATCTCCAACTCTCTTGAACTTTTCGTTTTTCGTGAGGGTTTGAGGTTTTGGGATACAACTGTAGACTACTCACGTGACAAGCGAAAAAGTTATTTCTTAGGTTCCGTCCACACTACGCCAGAGGAGCTTGAAAACGCAGCTCCTTTCTCCGGTCAGGCCTACCGTCCACACTAGTCCGTCACGAAAACGCAGCTTTATTTCTACGGTCAGGCCTACCGTCCACACTAGTCCGTCACGAAAACGCAGCTTTATTTCTCCGGTCAGGCCTACCGTCCACACTAATCCGGCACGAAAACGCAGCTTTATTTTTCCGGTCAGGCCTACCGTCCACACTAATCCGTCACGAATACGCAGCTTTATTTCTCCGGTCAGGCCTACTGTCCACACTAATCCGGCACGAAAACGGAGGTTTTCGAAAACGCTGTTCAAACCGGAAGAATTTGAAAACGCCAGCAAGCGTTTTCGTGTGGACGGAAAGCATTTTGAAAACGGAGCTTTTCGAAAGGATGGCGTCACGATAATCATGTGATTTCTCTGTCCGAGTTTTCCTCAAACGCAAACCTAAAATGACCGCTGATTGTTGCGTTTTCAAACTCCCCGGCGTAGTGTGGACGGAAAACATTTGATACGTTTTCAGAGTGAAACCTCCGTTTTCAGCTTCATCCGGCGTATTGTGGACGGGGCTTCAGAGTTTGCGCTGTGGATTATTTTTTTGAACCTTGTCGTGTTGTGTTTTGCAGGTTCGGTCGTCAGTCCTCGAGAATGTTCCGCTCCAATCCAGGAAGACAACAGTCTGCGACTGCAGTTCACTTGGAGGTCAGTTACAAGCCGCTGCAGTTTTTGGACAGCTCTTTTTAGTATATTCTATATCGCTGTTAGGTTGTACATGTCGTACAAGAGCGTAAAAGCGTGCGCGACAACGTCCAAAGGTACCGCAAACTGTCGCTTACAAGCCCTGAGGCCAAACAACTTCATAACGGGTTTTGAATGGACTTATAAACGGAGGAGGTTATATCATCTCCATAGAAGTATTACACAGTGAGTACGCCGTAAATCTGCAAATTAGACTTCAAACAAGGGCTTGTGCGTTAAATACACGCGTGGAACGTTTGTCTGTACCGTGCGATCAACCTCTTCAGATCACACTAAAACGTTTGTTTTAGAATGGTATCGTGGTCGCAGTTGTTACTGTGGAACTCCTCTTTCAGGCGTCTAAATAGTCTGAGAGTAGCGCGAAGAATCTTGTGTAAGCAAGTCATTCCAGTTAATCTTCTTTCTTTCCTTAGAACCAGTTGTCGTCATGCGTCGCATTGGGGTCTGGTAAAGAGTACTACTTCTGGCTGACAACGTACGTACGGTATCTTTCTCAAGCAGGTTAGTGGTGACTGTTTTTATTTTACAAATTACTGTCATATCCTTTTTCTGTTCTTCAAAATCGTCCCATCTTTGGAGTCTATTCATTCCTTCTTAGGTGCATTTGACTTGTCGGACTGGTCCTGTCAATGACTCTTCTTGTCTTCCTGCTCGTTCAACATCGTAAGCTTTCAAGACTTTTTCTGTTCAGTGATGTGTACTTTTTTCCATTCAGGCTTTGAATCACGGTTAAGGGAAGTCTGTGAGGAGCTGCTTGGACCACCCCACAGGTAAAGTTGAATCCGTCGGAATCTCACAGGGACATAAAGAAACATATAACTTATTTTTGTTACAACGGTTCCAAGCTTTAGAAGAGTGGTTTTCCTACTCTTGGCAGCGGTTATCTGTTTCCCGCGCTGACTCACTAGGACGCGTTTCCCCGCGCTATGCGTCAGCTACGTGTATTTGCTCTTAAGTTTTGATTGGTTCACTGGATTGTCTATCTCTGTGATTGGTTAGAGCGATTACTTTGGTTTTGGTTTCACGACACTCGATTCGAGAGCAAGTTCGTGTGTGTTTTCCGCCAGTTCGACTAATTCTTCCCTTTTTTTTGGTGGAGACAGATATTCCTCGAGCCTGCCGGTATTTCAGCTCTGGAACCATCCAGGTTTTAAAAATTTACTTCCTTTTCCGCCAAACCAGCCATAGCCTTCCATAACTTTCTTGTATTTTCGCGACAACTTTCGCCGCATTAGCCTCGCATTCATGCGAAAGGGCCCACTCGTCCCAGGGCCATCTAGGAATACGAATATCGTCTATTGCCTGATTACTCTCGACAGTCAATTGAAACGCGCTCTATAAGTTACTGAAACGGTATGTTAAAAGACAGAGGGAGGTTGCCTTGAGCATTTCATTTGTGTGTCCTTAATGCGCTTTTCTTTTATTGTAGATCGGTAGGACCTCAGGATAAGAGCTCTAGTTGGAACCCATCTATACTGGTAATGGCAACGACAACAATCCTACCAAAACTACGAATTACCTTAATATAGGAAATTAATGCTGAATTTAGGTCGCATTAACTGTTAATTAAATGAAGCGTTAATTTCAATTAGCGTCTTAATTATCGCGACAGTATTTTCCTTTATATTTTAATCTCTTGTGTCCTTCTAAATAGCTATTTTAAGTGGAATTCATTTCTATTTACAGGGATACCAGAAGAGAAACCTTTTACGCGAACTGTTACCTCATATTGGTAAGTCTTGACAGTTTTTCCGCGTAACGGTTCGTCATGAATTTCCGTCGCTGCCGGGTAGTCCTAAGTGGTAGCATCCGTCTTGAAATGCATCTAATTAGTTACGGTTTAGCGTGATAGCGCGCTCTCGTGTTTAAGTTTCGCGCCTGCTCTCGTCTGCGTTTCGCATTGGCTTTCGTGCGAACGAGCGAGCCGGAAACAAAAGAACCTATTTGTAGTCTAGTAACGGCTAGCGAGCGATTTCTTATAACTTGTCCTTTTTTTGACTTTCAGGGACAAATATTCGTTTACAGAGACTCTTCACGGAATTCAGAGAACAGCTAGACGCGCTCAACGTGCGGTAAAGTACTGATGTGTATTGTAAAATGAACTTTTTGAGGCCTACCTTACACTACAGTTGAATAGATAGCGTGGCGTATAACGAATGTCACGCACCACGTGGCTCACATCACGCGTCACGGAAGCCAGATGTCTGGAGGTCGATCACGTAGTTTCTCCCGCGACGTTGGTGACGTGTATCCGCTGATAAACAGCGTTGTGTACGTTTGGCTCACAAACAGGCGACAGAAAAAAAACATTGCTTAGGACAGACTTGGTTATTTGTCTTGCGGTTCCTTCGTTTGTCTCCTCTTTACGCTTGGACAAGGACTTGATAACTTTCCGTGCGCTGTTGAGGCGTGGTAATAGGGAGTTTACGAAACCACGACGGCGACGCCGAGGGCAACGTGGAATAAGAAATGAATTTATATTTTACCTGCGAATCTCGCGATACTCTAAAGTCATTTACTTTGTTTATCACTGTCAAAACTATCACGAAACTGAATCCTGAACACAGCGATAAATTTGAAATAAAAGTTTGAAAAATTAGCCGTCGGGGTTCACGTTCTCCAAACAACGCAAAATTTGGTCATTTCACGTTGTTGTCGTGCAGAGGACGGCAAAGAAATGTACCAAGAATTATAACGCACGTTCACAGCCATTGTACTGCTCATTAATTATTTTGTACAGTGACGTTCCCGTTGCTGTTGTCGTCACTATCACAGATATCACTATCTTTGATGCCACTGGCTTCTGGTTTGTTAGTTATTGCAAGCATATCTCTTCCTTGGTTTAAGAGTAGCCTGCTCATTACAAATATCTAATGTAGTATGCTGTATGGATATTCTAAAATATGGATTTTTGTGAGCTATTACAGGCGTGAAACTACTTGTATAGAAGCTTTTCAACAAAGTTGGAAGGGATTTTAAACCGGCAAGCTTATGTCAGCTTGGAGCTGACCGGTACTAAAACGTATACAAAGTTCTGAAAAACGTTAAATGTCATTAAAAACTGTTTTAAAACTGCTGTTCTCAATTTTCACGCTGGGTTTGTCGAGATCGGTTTCTCGTTACAGTAGCAATCTTCACACATTCTTAGATTCAAAATCAGTCTTAAGGAACATTACGGAAACATTCTTTGAAATGTTGGAAGTGAACGTTGTGGAACTTTTTACGATATGTTTTGGAGCTATTAACTTAGGTGGCAGAATGAAGTATTTGAGAGTTCTATAAATGAGTGAAAGAGCTTCTCTGTAACTGGACTTTGATGAATGGATAACCGTAGGCGTGTCTAGAGGGGAGGGGGAGGGTG